TACTATAGCACGTGAGTTATCCGTGTAGCACGTGAATTATCCGTGCAGATCCAGATATTGATACTATAGCACGTGAGTTATCCGTGCAGCACCTGAGTTATCCGTGCTAATCCAGCTATTGATACTATAACACGTGAGTTGTTCGTGCAGCACGTGAGTTATCCGTGTGGATCCATATATTGATATTATAGCACGTGAGTTGTCCGTGCAACACGTGAGTTATCCGAACGGATCCAGATATTGATACTATGGCACGTGAGCTTTCCGTGCAGCACGTAAGTTATCTATGCAGATCAGGCTTTATTGATTCATGCTAGGATTTGGCTTATTATAGAGCTTGGGCTGGATCGGCCTCTCTGGAGTCTACACATCCACAGTGGGCGCAGTTGCTAGCCGTTATTACGTTTGGGCTAGATCTGCCCTGGACTGGCTTTGCATTGTACGATACTGAGTGACTGAGTGTGTCGAGTGATTGAGCGTGATGAGTAAAAAGTGTGAGATAGTGAGATTGACTACTTTGATAGTGTGAGTATATGAGTTCATCATTGAGATACATTGCATTTGACATGCGTACTTGAGATACACGCATATAGATGCATTTCCTTCTTCTACCCGATTTTGGTATCATTCATGATTTCACCTGTATATTGACATGTAGACATAGAGATGTATTTTTCTCATGCTATCAGAAAATGAAATATCTTATTTATTGTTGAAAGATTTTTGGGAAAATCACAGTTTTCAAACTTACTCATATGTTTTTTGGTGTTTCAACGACAGATTTGGGATTTACTGCTATACTTGAAAAACATACCTATTTTTCGTAACTGTGAATGAGTTGAGCATCTTGTCTCCGAGTTATTTTCTTGTATCACTTTTATTATATTGTTATGAGTTGTGGCTGGTTATTGTTGTTGGACCCTAACCTTTGTCCCAACTCGTCACTACTCTCAACCTAAGGTTAGGTTTGTTACTTATTGAGTACATGAGGTCGATTGTACTCATACTACACTTCTGCACCTTGCGTGCAGATCTTGGATGCTGATGTTGCTGCGTACGGTGGGAGCCGGATCGGAAGATGTACATGCGTTCCAGTTATGGCTATCACTAGTACTTGGTAGCATTAGATTCGAGTTCTATGAATTTACATTTCAAACAGATGTTGTAACTATTTCAATTCAGTTTTTGTAAAGAAATCTAAATCTTAGATGCTCATGATTTGTACTACCAGTCCTTGGAACATTCTTTGTATAATAGTTCAGTTGTATTATCATTTATTCTCTTAATAAATATCATTTGAACTGGTTTATTGTTAGTTGGCTTACTTAACGGGTTGGGTTAGGTGCCATCACGACTAGTTGAATTTTGGATCGTGATAGTTGGGGAGTATATTGTTGTGCTGATTAACTTGTTTGGCACATATTAACTCTTTCTGATGCTTTGGACCTAGTCTTCATCCTTTTCTGACTTCTTAGCTCTTGTAGTCTCCGTGAGGTTATAGCTCCTTCCCTTTTCATTTCACCATTATCTTTAGTTTATACCCAATGTCCCCAGTCACTATTGCATAATTCAAAGGCACATTTTTTTACCTACTACTTGGCATTGATTGAGTTAATTTCTGTAAATTATTACCAACTAAAGGAAACATTATCAAACTTACATTATAGATGGTAAATTCACTTTCTGTATGTTGTTGGCATACCCATTCTAATCATTCTAGGCTTTTTAAAGGCTGTGCCTCTTCGACAATTAGTGGCAACATCCTACAACAAGTGAAAAATAATAAGAACTAAGATTTAGAAGAAAAAAAAAATCTAAAGATCACAAAAATTATCTAATTTGCGGACCCTCTTTTTTATTCATGTGTTTGGTTGACTTTGAGTTATTAGGTGTTAATGAGGAACCAACACTTGCACTAGCTATATTCTAATTTCTCTTTCCTCCTTACTTTCTTTGGCCTGCTTGGCATTATTCTGATTTCTGGTGGTATAGAAGAAGGGTTTTCTGACTGTGGTCACATCTCTATATTTTGAATATGCTAATTGAGATGACTGTAGGCGTCACGACCTAAATTCACAAGTCATGATGGCACCTAACCCAACCCGCTAGGTCAATCAATTTACAGTAAACATAATTCTAATAAAATAAAAGTGATCAACAAATGATATAATATCTAGATTCCATACATCCCAATGACTGGTAATACAAATCATGAGCTTCTAAGACTTAGAATTTAAAAAAATTGGGACGAAATAAATACATCTGTTCGAAGTCTACATAAACAGATTAGCAAAATCTAAAGCTACCAAGGACAAATGGCAACTATAGTCAGAACGCAGGTACATCTTCGATGCCAGTTTCCGCAATACACAGCAACTTCAGCTCCAAAATTTGCACGCAATGTGCAGAAGTATAGTATGAGTACAACCGATCCCATGTACCCAGTAAGTATCTTGTTTAATCTCGGGAAAGTAGTGACGAGACTTTTTAGTTAAAAGATACTCATTGATATAACATGTGCAGTAGACTAGCAATAGAACAGCACTATAACATAACAGAAAAGAGTACAAAAACAAATATGCGAAGAAGTAAATGATTACTAGAAGAAATCACAGTCAATATTCTTTAATATCACTACCAATCCTTTCCTTAAAACAATAACCAACAACCCACAGTAGTAAATTCATAAATTTTATAGTGTGATAAATGTACTCATGATATCAAATCAATTGGCATGGCAATATTTTTCGTGCATTTGTCTCTTCATCATAGAGCATACATATAACAATACCAACCAGGTAAAAGAAATAACAATAACGATAAAGTGGGAGATACACAGGTAGCAATAACGAATAATGCAATGCATATGGGCAAGAATAACAGACTAGATATGAGGCATAGAAGTAATGATAGCACTTAAGATAGAGGAACATAGATTTCACTAGCTAACATGGTAGAAAGCTTAGATGTAGATATAACAACCATGAAGGAAAACATGATCTTTATAAGCTAAACAAATAGAAGGCATGAATAAATAATATGGTAGAAAGCTTATACGAAAGTGCAACAAATGAGAAACGACATAGATGCAAATATGACAAACAAGAAGAAAAGCATGATATTTGCAAGTTTAACAAATAGAAGGCATGGACAATACAATAACAATTGAGATAGAGGATAAAGACAGAACAACAACGACAAGTCAGATAAAAAATATAGGTGCAACAGTAACAGCTCAAGATAAAGGCATGAATATATACACAAGGAAAGGATACCACAATATAATGAATGTCTATCATCCTCGCCTGCACGGAAACATCCTTCGTGCCATGAACACATAAAAAATAATTGCACGACATCACTTTTCATGCTTTTACTCTCATCCTCACAAGATAATGTAAATAAAATGGCACGACATTACCCTTCGTGCTTTACACTCTTAATCACATGAAAATGTATATGAAATGGTACGGCATCACCATCTGTGCTTTATACTCTTCCTCACCAAGCACATGTATATCAATAACAAGCATGGTAGGAGGCATGAATAACGTCAAGGAGAATGATTAATCAAATATTCCAAATGAACATCAATCAATGCGTTCAAGCCAATAACAATTAAACAAACCTCAAGAACCTTATTGTTCAAGTATTTCAACAAGTCTCAAAAATGATCTTCATCTCAAGTAGAGAATCCAATATCTCAAGAATAACGGTCGTAGCAATGTATTTGTGATTAAGTATAATGACGACCGAATTTTAGCATCTCAATAATTTCACAAAATCCGTCAAATTTTAATAAAAATTATAATAAATTAAATCATGGTTTCTAGCATTTAACTTCATATTCTTAGTAATCTAGAAGTCAAGTAAGACATGAAGCAAGAAGGTCACATAATTCTACAAGGCACAAATGATCGTATAATTTACCCCCAAGCATGATTAACCCTGGCACATGCATATACGCTCGTCACCTTGTATATGCATCACCTTCGCATGTAGCAAACGGTAACAATTAGTAGGAAAAATTCTCCCAACAAAGTTAGGCAAGACACTTATCTCAAACAAGCAAATTGATATACTAGAAGCGTCATCCCTCTCAAATCATCCTCCAAACGGCTCGAAATTAGTCAAAAGAAACTCAAAATCATCAAATAATGCCATAGGAAGCAAACCCAATCGATAAAGATCGAATCTTTACAGGTTTACTCAAAGTCAACCAAAAGGTTAAACTCGAATTCGCACCTTAGAACTCGACAAAACTTACAAAATCAGATAACTCATTCAATTACGAGTCCAACCATACTAATTTCACTCAATTTCGACTTCGAATCGATGTTCAAAACTCAAAAAATTACTTTATTAAAGTTTAGACAAAACTCCCCAATTTCTCTTTAAAATTCATAATTCAAATGCCAAAATCAAAGATAACTTCGTGAAATATAATCAAAACCGAATAGAAAATACTTACCCCAATTTATGTGGTAAAATTCGCCTCCAAAATCACCCAAATCCAAGTTCCCCAACTCAAAATATGATAAAATAACTCAAAGGTCCAAAATAAAGTACTTATATCCACTTCCCAGTGGTACTCTACGTGATTGCGGTAGTACCTTCACGATCGCGAAGCAAAAATCTGCCCATATTCAAAAGTCCTTACGAGAATGTGACACTAAGCCCGCGAACGCGAAGTCCAACAGGTCACCAATCACCGCGAACGCGAAAACAATCCTGCGAACGCCTTGCTCAAATCTCTCTGGACAAATTCCTTAAATGCGAACGTGATATTCCCATCGCGAACACGAAGATTAACCATCCCCACTGACAAATTACACATCGCGATCACGTAACACAACTGAAACACCAGCAACTAGCATGCCCAACATGGTCCAAAATCCGTCCAAAACTCACTCGAGCCCTTCGGAACCCCGTCCGAACATACCAACAAATCCTAAAATATAACACGGACCTACTCAACACCTCAAATCACACATAACAATATCAAAACCACGTATCGCACCTCAAATATAGCTTAATGAACTTTTAAACTTTCAACTTCTAAAACACGTGCCGAACCATATAAAATCAAATCGGAATGACCTTAAATTTTGTAAACAAGTTCCAAATGACATAACGAAACTACTCCAATTCTCAGAACCGCAATTTGAACCCGATATCATCAAAGTCAACTTTCAGTCAAACTTATGAATATTCCAAAACTCCAAATTACCAACATTCGTCAATTAACGCCAAAACCTTCAAGAAACATCCAAATGCAAATCCGGATATATGCCCAAATCCAAAATCACCATCCGGACCAAACGAAACTATCAAAACTCTGATCTGGAGTCAAATACATAAAAATCAAACTTAGTCAACTCTTCCAACTTAAAACTTCTAACATGAGATTCATACTTCGAAATCGATCCTGAATTACCTGAAAATCAAAATTGATGATTCGCATAAATCATAATATATCATATAAAGCTACTCAAGATTTCAAACAGCTAAATGAAATATAAATTCTTAAAACGATCGGTTAGGTCGTTACAGTAGGTCTTTATGTATACCAATATACAATACAGTTAATAGGCTCCAATTTTCTAAAATAAAGTGTAGCTATACCATGAACACGTAGTATACCTTTCAACATCCAAGATCTACATATATATGTAAGTCTATTTAGATTCATTATATGCTTACTTTTTCTCCTTCCTTGATTTCACCCTCATATTCACCATTCCACTCAACCATATACTTCATTGACCTTGTTGTGTTCTCTTGCAATACCTTTAGTATAATTAGAGATATATTAGTGATCCAAGTATTACAGAATTCTCTCATTTATGCTATTCTTCTCATCTTCATCACCCTTATCTCTTAAGCATTGTGATAGTAGTCTTGTACCTTGGCCCCAATATCCATGAATTAAAATTTTCAGCCATATTGTTGTCAACACTATCATAGTTGCCGAAATATTTGAAATAAATATTGCAACACCTTCCTTTGTTGTACCACAGTTGGTCATCAACTATTTTATTGCCTAGTTTAGCCAAATTATCCAGATTGTTCTTGAATTTTTGCTCATGTAGACCTAGTACATCTCCAAAAGCGTTTCTTCTCTCAATCCTCTCCAATTCTTGGACCAGTTAGCTAGAATGAGCTTGACACACATCTTATGTTCTACATTTAGTAGAAGCTCTCTGATTATTGTCTCCAGCCCCTACAGCAAAATATGAAATAAATAAATATTTTTCAGTTAATTGACACTAAATATAAATAGAATTATAGAAGAATAAAAAAGTAGAAAATACATTACCTTCTGTATGTCTGTAATAACTATCAATTCTATCCTACCTCCCAGCTGAAGATGACCACTTAGAATGTTGACAAACCATCTCCAGTTATGACTATTTTCAACCTCTACTATTGCCGAGGCCAATGGCACCATCTGAATGTTCCCAGCTCTAGAAACAACCACAAGTAATTGTTATTTACAGATACCTTTCAGAAAACATCCATCAAGCCTAATGCACCTCATACAACCATCAACATCCATCAAGCCTAATGCACCTCATACAACCATCAAGGAATGCCACTCTTCAAGGCATAAAAATAATATAAAACTTCTGTAATATTTGTCTTCTACCTTAAAAAGTTTCTTCACTAAGCTTAGCAACGCATATGCTACCTGAATTAGTCCTTAACAATTCATCTCTATAATCCGGTATTCTACCAAAATCCTTAACATGGTCACTCATAATATCTTGCAAACAATCTGGTTGGTTCTCCTAACCACTGTTCTATCACTATACACTTCTTCTTTTTTAACTAAATCTTGAAACTGAAAGATTCTAATATTAGGTTTAGAAATTATTTTGTCCTTGAACTTATTTTCCAAGTACTTTGAATTGCACAATTTATTCTTGGTTGTGCCATTGCACTTGTGTAGTGGATTGTAATTTTTCACCATAAAATCTTTTGTCCTAGAATCATAACTAGCAAACAACCATAGACAGTCACTAGAGGACTGTACCTCACTCTTCTTGATTCATTAAGATACTTATCTAACTTTACATGTTCATCGTGCATACTTGGTAAATGCTTCTCTAGACTGCCTAACACTTTCAAAAGTAAGGCCAGTTTTTCAAACAATTAACTTACAATTAGGATCAAAGATGACCCTATTTCTGTATCAAAGATGACCCTATTTCTGTTCTTTCTTTTTGTCCTTACAGGCAGTTGAACCTCATCTTCACCATCATCAAAAGAAGCTTCGTCAGAGGGATAATATTTTGCTCATCACCAGCAATCTTACCCTCTAAACTCTTTTTTTCCTAGTTGCATACTCATCATATCCTAGATCTAGATCCCTTTTGCCTAACTAAACTTTTTCAAGTACAGGCCCCTTGGCCTTCCACTCCCTTCTCTGTTCCTTCCTCATCTCCTTTTAAACTCATATACTCTTCGCGAACATCATTACCATAGTATTCTTTCCCTTCCTCAAACAGCTCTTCACGGTCTGAATCTGAACTATTTTTAGTGTTACTGTTGTCCACATCAGATTCAATTAGTGGAATATCAGTAGAATTATAAGGCCCACCCTCATCTTCTCTAACTGCACTCTCAAACCTACCCACAAACTCTACAGCAACTATATGGACACTGTTTTGAGGCTCTTCATATTGTTCAGCTTCCTAAAACCCTAAACCATCATTATTCTCAAAAGTTTAACTGGCCCCCCCTTATCAAAAGACACATCAGATTTCCCACCCACATGAATTCTATATTCAATAGTTGGAGAGACCTCTAAAGCTCAACACTATGAGACGCATATACTTCAAATATATCCTTATTTTTTAATAGTGGTACAATTCCCATAATAATCCATATCTATTTTATTTTCTACCAAACTACTAGATTTAAGTGGTCGGGCATAAATGGAACAAGACTTAGAATTATAACAAATTTTTTTACAATAATTGAGAAACTCAAAATATGAAAATTTGTCAATATCCACATAAAATATTCAGCCATAATACCACCTTCATACTAAATTGGGTGATGTAATTTTCCTCCATGAAAAAACCTCAGTGTAACGAGTTCATACAATATTTTTTTCAAACTAAAATCAGTAAAAGATACAAGCTTCATGTATAAAATTCAAAAATATGAACACATGCAACCAAAGAAAATGGTCCTTCTTAGAAATACAACCCTTTACCTCAATATTTACACTAAAAATTTGACAAGAAATTGAAGAACAAAAAAAACCTAGAATTGAAATAGAAAAAAAAGCTAACCTTTTACCGAAGAAGCACACTTTTGGATAACAACTTCAATATCTACTTTAAAGTTTGATAAAAAGGGACTGAGCTTTAAAAATTATGATCGGTGTTGAAATCCCTTCACACTTCTTCGAGAAATGCCAACAATTTCTTCAGTTTTGAGTTTAAAACATGTAAACTTTTCTTGAAATACAGTCAAAAAGATAAAATATCAAGCCATAATAAGAGGTTCTTGGTTCAATCAATCCTAGTATTTGGGTGCATGAGACAATTTGAGGGTCTAATTTTGAGGATGGTTGGTAATTGATAAGGATCGGGTGAGTTTTTGGTGCTAAATAATAGGAAACATGTTGGATCTGTTCTCTAGGTCGGTTTGTATGGGAATGAGCCGAATTATTTAATGGTAGGTATTACTTAATGATGTTGCTTAATGAGAAGCCGAGTGGCATACATCGTTCAGCAGTGAAATGTCCGAGGTCCACAGAAGGGGGAAAACAATCGACCTAGAAGTATTTAGGGGGAAGATAAATACCCGTAAAATTAAATTACGAAATCAAATTTTGTGGATAACTTTAGGGGAACTTATGTATTTTGTCCTATTTGAAATAAGAAATTTGGCACCTCATGGTCATTCGGGCTACTTAATAGCAAGAATCGCCCACCTTACTCTTATTGGCATGTTTTAGTCAAATTTTGTCAATTTTAGTAAAAAACAAAGTTGGCACATATATTCAATTGTTCTTTTGCTATGGCAGTGAGGTTTTCTCTGCCTTCTCTCTAGCTTCTAGTGAGACAAACGCATTCAATATACAACTTTCCAAATCACAAATACCAAAGTCAATGATTCCACCCTTGGAAGTTGATCAAACAGAGCAAGAACAAGATCAGCTCCACCACAGTACCAACAAACCAAAAGAGCCTACACTGTCTTTCCCATCGCTTGAACATGTAAGTTATCGTGAGATAC